CCATTATTCATAAAATTTTCTTGCCCCCCAATATGTTTCGAGGGTTATTGAGAAGTACCTTTTTGTGCCATGTTTGCTATTGCCGAGAGGTTGGAATTTGGCATAAAAAAAATGTTGTGCTTCAGCAATCAGCTTTTGAATGATTTCAACTGCTCCCTACTAAATTGGTTGGTTGTTCCTCGGTTGTACTATGATTTTCACGTCTTTCCCTCTTGTTTTGTGGCTTCCAATCATGGGGATTTCCATGAATATTCCAATAGGTATTACAGGTGTGCCAGACTTCTTGTAATGCACACACCATGGTCTTTCCTTCTTGGTGTGTTTGTTCTTAGTTCTTCGTGATGCAAGGTCATAAGCCTCATTATTGTTGATGGACTGGTTTCTAAGGCCCATGATTACTTTTTCCTGATTTTTTTCCTATCAGCCTTTAGCACCGACCTTTCGCAGATTAGGTAGAGATTTGGTTGCTACGTTTAGCTACGAACTTCATCAAGGTTTTTGTTGAGTCTTAACAGAAACTTGTAAACTCATTTCTTCTTAACAATCTTCTTATACTTGGTTGCATCTGTTGGACAATCCTATTGAATAGTTTTATAGACATCTACTCGCTACTACTACTTACAGAGATAGCTGAAATATTGGGTGACTGAGAGGTTGGAGGTCATGAAGGATACCTTTAATCTCGAACGCCTTCACTGTATCTTCCTTATTTGACTAGGTCTCACGCATGACATCCCAGATTTCTCATCTTGTTTCATAGAGAATAATATCTCTCCTAAATCATCTGCCATGGAGTTTACAAATTATGACATGACTAAGTTATTTTCAATTTTCCACGTCTTATAGAGTGGACCATCATATTTTAGTTTAATGACTGCATCTCTGCTATAGACATCTTTTTCTCGACATAGATCAACATCATAACTAAATATGATTGTTGGAGATAGTTATGGTCATTCAGCTTGCATCCAGTAATGAAAAAGGCATTGGATTCAGATCATCTATTAGAGTTGGTAACAGATCGAGACAAAATAATAGAGATGATTGAGGCAGTAGAACAAGAGAAAACAGTTTTTGGTCTTTTAGAATTGCTCTGACACATGAAGAATTAAAATTATGTATTTTTCATCTTTTGAGAATGATGGCAAAAAGTAAGGGGCATTTCGAGAAATGAACTCGGGATTTATAAAAAGTCAGGTGCAATACAAGAATTTTCCAGGAGATCATCCATCCTAATACTATTCTCTTCCAAACACGCTAACTGCGGAATTCTGATTGGATCCAATACATTAGTGTTAATATGATCGCACCCTATTTTTTGAGAATAATACAATGATTATATTTACAATATAAAAGCTACCATATTTATACATAGAGGAAAAAAAATCCTAACTAATGAGAAGATTCTCCAAAATAAATGTCAAATCAAATTAAAGAGATTTGATAAGAATCTTCTTAATTAGTAAGAGAATTTTCTAGAATAAATAGCAAACTGAATCAAAAAAAATTGGTCAACCTTGGTGTCATATCTTCTAAATTATGAAGTAAATATTTCTAATATAGCAACTATAGTTACTCGATTTTCAATTAAGTTCCAGGTAAGAGAAATAAGACACAAAATAATGGAGCATGAATCTCAAGGAGAATTGGTGATGGTTTAGCCTGCCAAAGCTAGCACACTGCAAAACAGGACAGTAAGGCAGAACTTAATGGGGTGTGCCATGTAATTGTTCCTAACGATCTAAGCACAGATCAAAAGGTTGTATATGTTATATGCATCAAAAGTTTAACAATAACTTGAAATTTCTCCTTCAAGCAAACGGGAGGAAAGGAGAAAATATCAGTTTACAGTGCTGACAGAAGTAAATAATCAGAAGAGAAGTAATGGTTTGCAAAAAGCTTAAGAATAATTGATGTAGGACAAGTTGCATTGAAAATAGCAGTAGTATAGAAATTAGATGAATATAGACAAGAAAATAGAATAATAAGACAGACTAGAGGAAATGGGGAGGACCGAAACGAAGAAAGACAGGGGAGAGATTAGCTTATCCTACAGTACTATAGAAATTAGAGGAATAGAAGCGATAACAGGAGATAATAGGAAACGAGGGACCAAAATAAAGACATACAAGGGAGAGATAAACAGAACGAGGTTGGTTGGACAGAAGAGGACTAACTTATTTCAAAAAAAAAAAAAACAGAAGAGGACTAACAATGATGGGAGCTTATTATCAGAAGACCACTTTCTTGAAGCAGACATTTCATTCATTAAAATCAATTGGGATTTTGTGCACGTCTGTAATTGTTTCTCTTATTCCCCCAGTAATTAAGGCTGGGGAGCCGAATTCCACTAGCATATTTGAGATATATTCTTCAACTTGCACCAAGCCATGCAACAAAAAAAATGGCCCATGATTTACCTTCATTGAAGTTACTCTGACAAATGATTTTAAGTAGTTTTCACCCAAAACAGGAACAACTTTGAGGTCATCATGCTGGTTATAAACAAACAAATATCTACTACCTTTCAACTAGATCATTTGAAATGGATCTTTTCCTGAACTACTTCCAAACAGTTATAAATTCATCTCTAACAAAAACATCCCATCAAATTATATAAGAATCTGAAAGTATACAAAAAAATATCAAAAAGTACTTGGTCCACCTATGCCCATATCATAGTAAGAAATAAACCCAACATATATATGAATCTCAATTAATCTTACATGTACACGACACTAGAGATAAATTCATAGTCCCCAAAACTTTGAACTTGTAACCCTTAACAACATCGATGTCTAGATCTGAATGCATTTTTCCATCCATTACAAACATGTAATCTATGTACAATTTTTATGTAGGAAAAGGCTCATAACCACAATCCATCTCAATCACAGTCCATCCAGTTATTACCTGAGCAAATACCCACCCCCCCCCCCACCCACCCCACCCCCACCCACCCCAACATAAAATTCCATTCATCAGATCTTGTAAGTAAATCAAATCTTACTACTAGACAAGTAAACTTTCATTTTAATCTTCTCGTTGTCCTTCCCTTCCAATAACAACAAATTAATCAACATGTGTCAGTTAAAGAAAAGAATGTTTGTGGCTACTTCATTTTTATGCAAAATAGTCAAAAGTACAACATCAATGAAAGAAGAAGAAGAAAGAACACAAACATAGGTATCACTCAGCCAACAGACAACAAACTTTGCTTCTTGCAATACCGATGGCTCAGTTGTATGATTCATAATTAAAAGCATTCATCAAAGTCATACCAATTCACAAATGCTTAAATCACTTACATGGACTCAAAGAAGCAGTAACAGAAAAGTATAGCCGAATCATATAGATAAAAGAAAAATGAGGCAATACGTAACCTGACTTGGGATTTGTCTCCTGTAGAACACTGATGACTCTGGGAAATTGGAGACATAAGATGGCAGTGCATGGACATAAATAGAATAATGCTGTTCGTGCCCCTTGAGGAATCTCTCCCAAAGAGGTGCCAGTGGCAGTGGTCCCTTCGTCAAGAACATGAAGGCAATCTTAGGAACTCTCTTAAATGGATACTCTTCTCTTAGAGTTACAAAGGATGCTCGCCAGAGCAGCTCACTATCATTCATGGTATGCCAGAGGTTTGATGGTGGTCTAATCCAACTTTCGAGATTATTAACTTCTTGGTAGCAAGGAAATATGGTGGTAGTTGTGGAAGGGGTAATGTTATTAGCTCCAAAATACCGGAACATGCGCATGCTAATGATTGAAAACCCAAGACCCAGACCTAGAAGCAACAAAAAAATTTGAAGGAATCTCAATGGCAAAGCCCTAGAATGGGTTATCCTAAAAGCAGTGGTAGAAGCAGGGTCCTTGCCCTCCTCCATTGAAGCCAATCTTGGTAGCATCTAAACTATCAAAATCACTCTCTGGATTCCGGAAAAAACCAAGTCTTTCAAGGTGAAAACCTCTTTTAATGCATGAGATAACATTATATAAAGGGAAAAGATGGAGGAGGGTTAGCATCCGCCATGTGGGTGTTTGATCTTCTGCAACTCCCAGATGGATAGTATGAGTGGGAAGAGTAACAAGATCAGAAATGATAAAGAAAGAGAAAAAAATCAAGAGCGATCATCATGTGAAAATAACGTGTAAGATTGCAAGTAACTAACATGTGGATTGAGAGTTATATAATGAGAAGAAAAAGAAAAGTACGAGGAAGGAGGCGAAGGATGGGAAGGGTTCACACATTTCATACCCTTCCTGAATAGCGGCAGGTTATTTGGGAGAGACAAGAAGCGAGAGAGGCTCCCAATTTTGTTGTAGTGCGAGGTTGGTGTGTGTTCATCAAAGGCTGTTTCTGAAACAACTCTTTCAAACTCGAAGCGCACAAAGAACAGAGATGACAAGTAGGATGGAGAAACCTGCTTCACCACTTGGAAAAAGCTGTGATTTTTCTGGAACAACTCTTCTCTTCTCTCTGTTTATATTTTTTACTTTAATTCATTGTAACTGGCTTGATTTTTGTCATTTCTGTAATATTTTTTTCCTTTTAGATTATTTTCTTCTGATATTTTAATTTAAATTTTGTAGCTTTTACATTCTTACTTAGCCAAATATATTAAGTGTGTGTGTGTATGTGTTTAGCATGGCTTTATTTAATATAAAACAAAGTTTTCTTAAACTATATAAACAAATAAAACCTATAATCTCATAGTCATACATAATGATGTAAAAGTTATAACTTTGACTTTATAGTATAATTAAATTATATTATGTGTCATATGAATATAATGCATAGTTATTATAATAATATATGGAATAAATGAAGCATGTATGTGTCATAAAAACACATTAGAAGGGAAAGAAATACACCTATAATTGTATTTTTATTATTTAAAATTTATTTAAATAATAAATGTTGATAAAAATATAATAATAATAAGCTCATGGTAATGTATAAGCATATATTATGAAAACATTTAATCATAAGATTAATCTTTGCATAGACACCACATATTCTGAATAATTAGTTAGTTTCCAGAGCATTTGAATCTTTAAGATTAACAAATTTTGGAACAGGGAAGGTAGGAGGAGGAATTATACATGCAACTAGACACTAAGTGCTACCTAAGAATAAAATGGCAAAACCATTAGAACATTACTAAATACCTTGTTAACATCCTGACTACAGACACCAATATTTTTGACAAAATATGAACATCGTATGAGTTCATTAAAAGAAAAAGACAGTCCCGAATCCTGAAGTGGTAGCTGAGGAAATAAGGCCATCAGACCCTTTTACTTTCTTCATGTCTTTTTCTCTTGGCAGAAGATAATCTGGTTAGAACACCAGGAGCCGGTGGAACAATAGCATCTTGCATTGCTTGATAAGAAACATTCACAGCAGTTTCTGCTGCTCTTTTCATTGTATTTTTCAATTTCTCAAGTTCGAAAATCTCAACATTTCCTACTGCACTTGTCAGATGAGAAACCACCATCATATCCTTTACTTTCTCCAGAACTTCAGGAACATTAGTAGCACCTTTCTCACACTAAAACAAACAATGCAGAAGTTAAAGAAGTTGCAATTTTGTGCCAGAGTTGACTTAAGAAATAGTACGAAAACACATGCAAACAGAAAGTTAAACAAGCACATCCATTACTTTTTACCCGAGTAAGCTGATTATAACCTAAAAATTCTATTCGAAGCCTAATAGTGTCATATAATATTCAATGAACTAAAGACTCAGAAAAGTACACAAAAACTAAGAACCAGATTCCAAGAATTTATTTCCCAAAATAGTTGCACTCTTATCAACTAAAAGCTAGTCTACAAAGAAACAAAATCACCATAATTCAAGGATTAACATTAATAACAGAACAAAACAGATGTAGTAGTAATTTTTATTTCTATGCACAAATAGGTACCAACATCCACATATATACACAAATTATTTGCCATTCATTCACTATTCCATATTTCTTTTATACAGTGATAAGATGCCTTATGATTATTATCAAGGTTTAGATCGCATTTGTTACTATGAACATATAGATCGGATTTTAACTGAATCATAAATCACACTATCATATTATGATAAGATAACACTGTTGCACGTACTGCTTCTAGTTTGGCGAGTGTAGTGTCTAACTTCAAAGTCAGCCTATAATTTTCATTTTTTAAAGACTCAACCTGCATATGTAAAGGAGAAAAGAATGTCGGACTAGGAATGAGAACAAGATAACAATGCCGAATACGTAATATAAACTATACTACAAAAACATACTGCTTCTACTTTGGCGAGTGCAGCCTCTAACTTCAAAGCCAACTCACGATTTTCATCTTTTAAGGACTCAACCTACATAAAAAAAAAATGTTAGACTAAAAATAAGAACAAGATAATGACACTGATCATACATACCTTCTTCTGAGAGTTAATATACAATTTTTTGTATCTGGTATCCGCTGCAGATGGACTTTTACAAAACACAGAATCCCGAGTTACCTATTTAAATTTCAATATTTTATGGAATTATACCAGAAAATGCAAAATTATCGGCACAATCACGAGTAGTAATGTCAAAGGGAAAAGGAAAAATAGTAAAAAGAGATTGCAGTTACCTTAAACTTAAATTCTTCTATGATCTCTTGATGTTCTATGGATTTTTGTAAAAGATAGTTAACTTTTTCTTCCAAAGATTCCATTGGTTCTCCCTCCTGAAGAGGAGGTTCCTCACTTTCACTAAGAGTTACCTCATTAATCACATGTTGAATGTCTTTTGCATGAGAAGAAATAAAAACATTTTGTAAACGTTCAGAGCGCCTTACTGGGGGAACAGCACTCTTCATCTTTGCTATTCTCTTTGAAGACAAGTTGGAACTATCAGCTTGCCTTTTATGCTGCGATTTCATTGTCTCTAACCAACAACTTAAGTTTCCTCTACTTAGTGATTGATAAGTACTCTCAGTTTGTAATTCAGCTCCCCCAAGAGAAGGATTGGTGTTTACAGAATTTTACTAGAAAATAAAATGAGATTGAAGTAAAATAGAACTCACCAAGAAAAGAGATAAAAGTACATTATGGAAATCATATTCAAATATAGGTATCATCACCATGCAAAGCAATTAAATAAAGAGCCATTAAACATTTCATGCGCAATGGACTACTGTGACTATAGATACTTCGGCCATGCACATTAATGGATGTGTTCATATATATATTTTACTAAACATAGTTGATACTTCACCCAAAAAAAAAATTGATATGACCTAAGAATTTACAGAATAAAATAAAGAAACATTAAGGGAAGAAAGATATCCACAAACAATTTTTACATACCAAAATCCTGAACAGCAAAATGTTGGGACTAAATGATTCGAGCCAAGGTAGGCCAACTAAAACTAGACCATAAGAAATCTTAAGATCACTTGAAAGCTCATGGCCACATGAGCATACATGACTAATATGAGTTTGATAGTTACGGGCTCAAGGAAAAACATGGCCAATTGATGTTACAAGGCCACAACCAACTTAAGGAAGAGCAAGATGCATTCCAAGATGTATCTCAAGGTCTCATAAGCATGAGAGGCCATGGTTTCAGCCCCATAAATATGAATGTTGAGGTATGGACCATCCAAGCTCGGTAGGTGGCGGTTTGGGTTGTCTAAAGGAAGATCAAGGCAGATTAGGCTGTATAAGTGGAGATCACAGCCTCATGGACTGTCCAAGACAAGTCCATGACGTTTTAGGCCATGGACAAAGTTCATATGGGTGCATACAAGGGCTGATCACAACATATGATGGACTTGGAACACATTGAAGGACTACCACAAGTTTAAGAGCTAAAGAACTCAAGAAATCCTTCCAAACTTTTGCTCAAGAGTGGATCATTGAAGGAAAAAGGCTTGGACCAGATTTAAAAGCCCACTAGGGAAGAGAACAAGGCCCATAAGGCCAAAAGAGAGCTAGCCACGCCAAGCTCCATAAAATAGGGTCACATGGCCAGAGGATTTCTTTCCCAAGAGAGATTTTCTCCCCTCTTCATCTCATGGTAGAAATCAGTTTCATGAATCCTAAATCAAGTAGGATTTGCAGTAAATCACTCAAGGAATCCATCCTCATCCTTTCAAGAGTCCTAATCGGTTTTTCCTCTTCCTACAATCATATTAAGAAGGTGTTTTAATCATACTTGACATGTGAAAGCTCAAAGAGGATAAGTTACACCTCATGGCTGATTTCTCGCAAGGAAAAAGAGTCCTTCTCTTTATCAAACATGCTTGAATGTTATCTTATCTTCATCCCCTACAATTATTAAAATAATAAGGCAAAAACCAAGCAAACTACTCCAAGATAAAGCCAACCACAATCCTTGAAGAAATCAACACTTATCCGAGAGTAAAGAGTCTTAATCTATGTTACTTTATAATTCTTTAATTTATTATTTTCTTCAAGAGTACTAGATAGGAATTTGAGATTTTTTTCCTACATTTTAGACTTTGAGTTCTATTGCAATTCTCAAGGCCTATAGCTATACAAAAGCTTCACTTCTTTGGTAGTAAGCAATTCAAGTTTAGATCAATAAAATTTCATAGCTTCTCAAGCTTATAGCCCTTCGGCTTTCGAGTGTTTTTTGTAAAGATTTACTTCAACCTTCTTGTTGAGCAAAGAATTGGTTCTACTTATCCAGGTAACTCTTTTGGCGTTTTATCAATTATTGTTCTTTTTCCAATTACCTTACTTCTCAATCACAGGTTGATTGTGAATTAAGTATGGATGACTTGTTTAGAGATTAAGTTTTTGTGCTAAATTCTATAGGTGATTTTTTATCACATTGGTTGATTTTGGATTCGCATCACTAAACTGAAAACTAGGAGGTGTTGCTAGGACTGAAATGTAAATTATCTAATTTGAAGGGATATAATGAAAATAAGGTTAAAATCATACCAACCCTTCAATTTTTTAGAAAACAGGAGTGCATATACAAAATGATAGATGGCATATATATATGTATACACATGTTTGACGAGTTGAAGAAGAAAATAAATTTTCACCGCCATTCTTGATTCTTCTTCTCACCACTATTTCTCTCTTCTTCTTTCTTTACTGCTATTATCGACACTTCTTCTCTTCTTCCTCAACCACCATTCTCAAAATAAATTTTCTTTGGCAGTCTTGAAGAAGAAGCCGAAAACAGAGAACCACAAAGAGAAAGAGAGAGAGAGAAAGAAGAATGATGGTTGAGGAAGAATAGAAAAGAATCGAGAACATCGGTGAGAAAAAGAATCGAGAATGGCAATAAAAAAAGAAGAAGAAGAGAGAAAGTGGCTGTGAAGTAAGCATGGCAAGGAAAACTTTTTTTTCTCTTCAAGTCGGTCAAACTTGTATATACATATATATATGTCATACACCCTTGTATTTGTATCCCTCTTGGACCCCTGTTTTCTATAGAAAAAAGAAGACTCGATATGGTTTTAACCTTATTTCCAATATATTTCTTCAAATTAGATAATTTACATTTCAGCTCTAGCAATACTTATAGTTTTCATTTTAATCCCAACAATTTGTATCAAAGTCTGGTTCGAGTACGGGAATTAACGAAATAGTGAATTTACATTTGTGAAGTTTGAATAAGCATCCAAATTCATGGCTTCAGGTGTTCACAAGTATGTTGTAGTCAATGATTCTCGTATTTGTGAAAGAAAATTATGGTAGATGGAAGATTAAGATGCAAATGTTACTACTATCACAAAGATTGTGGGATGTACTTGAGAATGGTTATTCTCAATCTATTGTTGGGCAACAACTAATGTCAGAATAAACAAAGAAGTTGGCAAAAGATCATATAAGAGATGTTAGAACTCTGTTTCTCATCCAAGAAGGGATTGCATAGAGTTTGTTTTCTCGAATAATTGGGGCAACTAAATTGAAAAGGCACAAGATATATTGCATTTAGAATTTTAGAAATCCGCGTAGGTGATTGTAATGAAGTTGCAAACTTCGTGAATGCAACATCAAAATTTGCAAATGAAAGAGTCGGAGAAAATAAATGAACATTTCTCGAAGATGATTGAGATCGTAAACCAAATACGGAACTATGATGAAGATATCTCCAATCAAAAATTATATCAAGAAATACATGCATCGTACAAGACCAAGGTACGCATGAGAAACAGGATCTAGTTCAAGCTAAAGGTAAAGGTAGTATTGTTGTGCAAACAAAGATGGAGCCAAAGTTTCTTCAAGATGTATTATTAGTTCCATATTTAAAGCAATATCTGTTGAGTATTGGGAAATTTCTATAAAATGGTTACGCAATTTATTTTGAGATGAGATTCAAATTTTC